GTCCAGAGGAGCCCCAGGCGTTGTGGGTCAGTGGGAGGGACTTCCCAGCTGGCTATGCCGCAGTTCCTGCACCTGCCCCTCCCACGGCTGTTATCTTGTCTCCACAGGCCAGGACCCCCTCCTGCTCCTGCAGGCCCTGCAGACCCTGTGGTCCACGCGGGAGCGGCAGCAGGTAAGTGGACGTGGCTGCCACGGGTGGCAGAGTCACAGCTGGCAGAACTGACTGTTGGGCAGAGACTGGCCTAACAGGAGGCCTCCCTGTTCGGGAAGCTGCACAGCCCCCCACGGCCACAGGGTCCTGCGGTAGTGGCTGCCCCAGACTGCATCCAGGGTGGCCTGTGTGGGGCAGGGGGCGGTCTTCCTCAAGGCCCCAGGGTGGTAAAGGCCCTGCCTGGCCCCAGCAGCCCCTCTGAGGTCACCTCTGGGAGGTGCAGGGTCCACTCATCTGCAGGGACACAGCTGTCATCAGCACTGCCAGGCCTGAGGCCCCATCCTGCCACCGCCAGGGCACCCAGACCCGGGGTGGCCACTGGGGCAGGTGTCCAGGTGTCCAGGGCAGGGAGGCCTTAGGAAGGGGTGGGACTTGAGCAGGGCAGGAGGCTGGGTGGGAGAGGCCGGGGAGAGGCTGCAGAGGGAGGGCCGGCCACCCGTGGGGGCAGACGCGGATTCCGGTTCCTTAGTGGCAATGGCCTGTGCACAGGAGGCTGCCAAGTCCTGAGTGCCACGTCTGCTGGCCCGAGGTTGCTCCTGCAGGCCCAGGGGACGCCCTCCAACCCCGGCCCTGGCGCTGCCTGCTCTGCGTCCACCTCCCTCCTGCACCCGCCCCTGCCAGCTTTTGTTTGGCCGTCAGCTCGGTGGCTTCTTGGGCCTCCAGCTTGTGAATCTCTGTCCTTTTGCCTTTGAGATTTCCCTCTGTTCCGTTTCCAGGCCCTTGTCGGAGCTTCGTCTGTGACGCTCAGTCTCCCTCGCTCTCTGGCAGCTGTGTGTGCGGTGTGAGCCTCCCCGGGTCCCACCCTCCGCGCCCCCACGTGTCTGAGTTGTGGGATTCCACCGGCCTTTCCTCCCTATGTCCTGACGTTCATCCTGGCGTCTCCTTTGAGCAGCGCTTTGAGCAGACAGGGCTGCAAACTGCTTCCGGCCCCGCTGACAGTCATGAGGCCCTAGTGCGTTTCATCGTCATGGGGAACCTGTGCCTGTGCCCTCGCCGCCTCCCTGTGCCCTGGCCGCCTCCCCGTGCCCTGGCCGCCTCCTTCTCATGTTCTTACCGCATCCCCGCGCCCTCACCTCCTCCTCGTGCTCTCACCTCCTCCTCGTGCTCTCACCTCCTCCTCACGCTGTCACCTCCTTCTCGCACTCTCACCTCCTCCTCGTGCTCTTACCTCCTCCTTGTGCTCTTACCGCCCCCCCCCCCGCCGCGCCCTCACCTCCTCCCCGTGCCCTCGCCTCCTCCTCATGCTCTCACCTCCTCCGGGCGCCTCCATCACATTCCCAGGTTCCAGCAAGCTGGCGAATGCCACCTGCCCAGGGGCCCTGGGTGGGCCGGGAACCTTGAAGATGAGGTCCTTTGGGGTCCTGGGTGCTGAAGAGAAGCCCAACCCTAGAGCTGGCTGCACGTGGAGGTCCTGGAGACCCCCATATGGTGGCATAGACACCAGGTGCCCCCACAGGAGGGAGATGGAGACCAGGATTTTGGAGAACTCCTGGGGCAGTCTGCAATATAAAGGGGGGAAATGGGACTGTTGATGGTCTGGGAGGGCTGTGGGTGTTCCTCTAAAATGAGAGGGGAGCCTGTATGCTGGGTGGGTGAGAGCAACCCGGGAGAGGGGCAGGAGGAGGAGGCAGGGCTGGAACAGGGCTAGGGCCTGGAGTAGACGCAGTCCCAGAGTGGGGTTTCCCTGGTTCATTGGACCCAGCCCCACTGCCCAGCAGCCTGTGATGGGGCGGTCCTGTCTTTTTGTTTTTGTTTTTGTTTTGTGAGACAGTCTTGCTCTGTCACCCAGACTGGAGTGCAGTGGCACAATCTCGGCTCACTGTAACCTCCGCCTCCCAGATTCAAGTGATTCTCTTGCCTCAACCTCCTGAGTAGCTGAGATTACAGGTGTGCAACACCATGCCTGGCTATTTTTGTATTTCTAGTAGAGACAGGGTTTCGCCATGTTGGCCAGGCTAATCTTGAACTCTTGACCT